TCGGAAAACAGAAGTTCGAGTACTGCATGCTGCTGACTGGACAGAGCCACGTCACCAGCTGCGACACTCCAGAAGGGAAGGGGAGTGTTGGCAACAATTGATTTAATGCGCTTCTATCATGTCGAAACACCAAGTCAAAGGCGAAGCGAAGTATATCGAAGCACCAGCGAGTCAACCCTCGGAGGTTGAAGTAACTGTTGGAGGTTACGCAAAAGTCAAAGGTTAGAGACCTTTGACCTGACAAGTACAGCGCGACAACAAGGACATACAACTGACTCGTTACAGAGCAGTTGCCCGAGTCGTCACTGTATCGAAACGCAACAACAAAAGTAAAGTAGTTATAACTGTATCTCTTCATATTCCTTGTACTCATATATAATCTTGTATCTCTTTGCTTTAATCAACTTACTTTGCCCTCACACACTAGCGCGTGGTTCACACTCCTATCATTAAACGCTTCCGCTATTACATCGTTCCTACCCAGAGTTCACCCCTGCAAAGATCCTCTAAGGGCTTTTCTCAGCCCAACAATGTAGCCTTTTCCCATGACAAGACCCCCCCCCCCTCTTTTTTTTTTGGGTTGCGAAGCAACCCTTTACGATCGATTTTGACAATTTTTTTTCATGATTTTTTTTAATAAACCATGAAAATAAAATTCGTCAGCTACAGTACGACCCTTCCCATTGTGCATGTTGAACAGTATTGGTAGCTGTCTTTGTAGTACCAGTTACGTGCATATTATACTGTTTGTATTATATCTTTTATTGTTTGATATGTTGTGATAAATGTTGTGAATACTAGTAATGAATTACACGCCACGCATGCTTAAATGGATGTAATGATGAGACATGATATATAGATGCATACCTAATACTGTTACACGCATGAAAATGCTTTTGTATGCATATGATATGCTGAAATGCACCACACTGTGAGAAGAACTAGGCAAGAATGATTGAAAGTAGAGAGGGGTTGAACTAGCAGGCAGTTGAGTACAAATAGCAAACCCTAGATTGGGCTGTACTCACTATAGAGTACCCCACTGCAGGCTAGACAATAATAGCATTCTGACACACCCCCATAGCCAAAGTGGGGTGTAATCAGCAGAGCAAGCAAAGCAGTACAAGCTCAGGGTGGATCACAATGTCACCACACATTCTGAGCACAAGTTCAAGAAGCAATAGTTTAAAGTTCACAGTTATGAGCAAAGCTAGAGGCAGTCACAGAGGGCAAGCGAGGAGGAGGAGGGCTGGCGAGAGGAGAGAAGATGAAAGGCGCCGACTGAAGCTGCAGACACACGGGCAACAGGAGCGGCGCGCACAGTGGCTACCGAGCGCACGAGGGCACCGGACTACGGGAGTATCTGGCTCCGCGGCTACGACGAGCACACACAGGAGCAACGGACCCACAGGCGACTGGCGAAGCAGGCTCGCTGGGCTACCGAAACGCGCGAGGGCATCCGGACTACTGGCGCTGCTGGCGTCACGACGGCTACCTCCACGCAATCTCCCCCGACCGTCCCACGCCCCTCTCACACACCCCCTGCTGACACCCTAGCTCCACTCCGACGGTACCCCCCTTAAACCCCAAACCCTAGGCTCCCACACACCACCCCCCTCAGCGGCAGCTGTAGCAGAGGGAGACGAGGGAGGAGGAGGAGCAGGGGGAGGAACTCACAACCGACACCCCCATAGCCGCCACCCCCACACTCTTCACCCCCAAACCCTAATTTAGGAGAACGGGCTGTAGGAGGGGTGAGGCGCCGGTAGAAGCACGGGGGACAGTGGAGAGGGCAGGAGCAGCGAGGAACGGGCCGCCCACGGGCCTGGTAGAGCCGCCCGAACCGCGCGCAGGCGGCCCGAGCCGCGCGCGGGCCTGGCGCTTCCCGTACGGGCCGCGCGCGTGCCTGGCGCAGCCCGTACGGGCCGCGCGCGGGCCTGGCGCAGCCCGTACGGGCCGCGCGCGTGCCTGGCGCAGCCCGTACGGGCCGCGTGCCGGGTGTACGGGCCGCGCGCAGGCCACGACGGGCGACGGGGGGCGACGCGCGGGTCCCCGTCGCCCGTCGCAGCGCCTCCCGGGGGCGACGTGCCGAGTGACGGGGCAGGAACCCGCCGCGCGCCTCGGGGCACACGGCGGGCAGAGAACCGCCGCGCGCCTCGGGGCGCACGGCGGGCAGAAAACCGCCGCGTGCCTCGGGGCGCACGGCGGGCTGAAAACCCTAGTTTCGACGCCGCGCGCCACGGGGCGCGCGGCGGACAGGGAGTAGCAGTAGCAGTAGCAGTAGCAGCGGAAGGCTTAGGTGGTGGGCCCACCCACAGGATCGACCCAGGAGGGTCGACCTGCTCTGATAGCATGTGAGAAGAACTAGGCAAGAATGATTGAAAGTAGAGAGGGGTTGAACTAGCAGGCAGTTGAGTACAAATAGCAAACCCTAGATTGGGCTGTACTCACTATAGAGTACCCCACTGCAAGGCTAGACAATAATAGCATTCTGACACACACCAGTATATCATACAAATGCGTGATAGTTAACGACCCAAAAACTAGGCTACCGCATCCCCTGCCTAGCATGGGGGGGAAGTCAATAGCAAAGTCTTTGAATAATCAACTAGCACATGAAACAATACAATCTGTTAACTCTAAAAAAGAGGTTCACTCTATCAAATCCAGTTCGAAGTGGCAAACACACGAGTCACTGAGTGCGCCAATGAACCAATGAGAAATGATAGAAATGAACCCCTTTTTAAAAATTAACAGACATGCATTGTTGATGCAATGATGAACATAAAAAAAAAAAAAACACATGCATGCACACAATGACGCATACGCACATACACACGAAGGCAAACTACCGCATACAAATGCACAAACGATAAAGACAAGTAGGAAGAAATGAAAACAGAAGATGCAAAATTTATAAACAACAACCTAAATCAAATTTTACAATTCAACATTTCTCAATCGCTTGGCTCAATCATAAGGTAGTTAATCTGGCGTACGCGCAACCTGGTGAAGAAATAAAACAACCATCACGAGACGAAGAAAGGAAAACGAGTAGAAGGGACGAGCAGCGAATACGGTGAAAGAAAATCAACCGAAAGGAAGAAGCAGAGAAAACAAGAAGAATCATGAATGGATTCAAAAGAGAGAGAGAGGACGACAGAGAGAGAGGACGAGAGAGAGAGGACGAACGAGAGAGAACGAACGAGCGAGAAAGAACGAACGAGAGAGAGAGAGAGAGAGAGAGAGAGAGAGAGAGAGAGAGAGAGAGAGAGAGAGAGAGAGAGAGAGAGAGAGAGAGAGAGAGAGAGAGAACGAATGAGAACGAGAGAACGAAGGAGAACGAAGGAGAGAGAGAACGAGAGAGTGAAAACGAGAGAGAGAGAGAACGAGAGAGAGAGAACGAGAGAGAGAGAACGAGAACGGGAGAGGAGAGAACGAGAACGAGAAAGAGAGAGAACGAGATAGCGAGAGAGATAGAACGAGAACGAGAGAGAGGGAACGAGAGAGAGCGAACGCGAGAGAGAGAACGAGTGAGAGAACGAGGGAGAGGAGAACGAGAGAAAGAGAAAGAGAGAGAGAGAGAGAGAGAGAGAGAGAGAGAGAGAGAGAGAGAGAGAGAGAGAGAGAGAGAGAGAGAGAGAGAGAGAGAGAGAGAGAGAGGACGAGTAAGAGAGAGAAAGAGAAAGAGAACGAGTGAGAGAGATCGAGAGAGAGAGAGAATATGCTCCTACCTAGTGAACTAACTCTCTGAACAGAATTGTAAAGATCTATTCAAAATTCCATTAAGGTGGAGGAAGAAATCAAGAAACAGCGTATGGAAGAAAACAAGAGTAAGAGCAGGAGCTGAAAAGAGCAAGCACGACCAATGTAAATCGGAAAAAAGGAGAGCGGAAGATGGGAAGAAGTGGAGAGAAGCAGAGGGAAGGAGAGAAGAAAAGTACGGTGCATAAACTAGGAAGAAAGCGAGGTTAAAAAACGAAAACGAATGGCAGAAGCTAGGAAATACCGGTAGAACCTCGAAACGGTTTTCAGGCAAGGAATCGACCTACCTGAATAGGTCGAAATCTGCAGCAGCTTCTAACACGGCGTTAGGTAAGACATCTAACATACCTACTAACCTACTTTCGGAGTAGGTCGTAGGCATAAGCGAAGAGAAGCTGAAGATACCTAACCAAGGAAGCTAGCTGAGGTGAGCTAGCGCCAAAACGAGAGCAAGGACCAAGGTGAGCTCCCACAAGCATAACGGGAAAAACGAAGAGGAGAAGAATGAAACCCTAGATGTTGTGCTGCCAAACATCAAAAAATGTATAAATAATAAAAAAGCTTTTGACAAATATGACTCGTTGTCCTAGCGAGTAGAGTTCGGTTTCGGGGTAAGGAGTGCTAGGGTTCGAATCTTGCTTACGGAAGATCCGTTTTCACTTGCCTCTGCTGATCTGATTTTTGCAAATTGAAGAGAATACTCTGTTACATAATTCTTGAGTAGTTAATTTTAAACAACTAAACAAAATGTTCAATTCCCTTTTCACAATTTGCAGGTAAGATAACAGTGAGGTTGAAATTGAAATCTATTATTGAGATTGAAACTGAGAGACTAGATTCTTGCTCATACGAAGCATCGCTCGTGCTAATATTTATCTTGATTGAAACCTAAGACAATGCCATCGTTATAGAGCGATTGTTGCGACCTGTAATGGTGCATGTTTACCAGTGTTGCTTCGCAACCCTAAGACGATTGCGTCGCCTCTTGTTTTTCTTTAGTTATCATAGCACCCTTGGGTGGTATATCCGGGTGATTACGGTAGAAGGGGGGGGGGGTCAATATTTTTGCTGCTGGTTTTGGAGAGGTAGTTTGAAGCATTAATCTGTCTATAACCAGGGAAAGCATTCTAAAGTTGCAAAACCAAGACTTTGCTGCAGCAGAGCTGGATAATTGATTCATAAACAGAGTTCTGTACATACAGCCAAGCTACGTAGATAATAGCTGCATCCTCCTCTCACTGCAGCGCGGAAACTTTCTTCCACGCAGGGCGTGAAGAAATCCTCTCCCACCAGGCATTCACATTCGGACGCGAAGTTACAAGATCTGAATCCCCTGACACCCACAGCAGAGCCGTGTAGGGCAGGTGCGACAGATCCGCGAGGGAGAAATCGGACCCCGCCAGGTACTCGTTGCTGACCAGATGGGCTTCGTACACATCGAGAACCTTCGAGAGCTGCGGGAAATGGGGAGAAAGAAAGCAAAAATATATTGTTTGAATGTCAATAGAAAAGCGAGAGCTGCAAATCAGGAAGAGCATGGCGAAGAAGAAAAAGTATGCCTGAACAACAGTCTCGGTCACATCGAAATAATCTCCTCAGACGGGAGAATGTTCAAGCGTGAATCTTGCCAGCTGAATTCGCTCTCGTCACTTACCTTCGCCTTGAGCTCTTCCGCCTTGGCCAGGTCGGGCTCGCCCCCACCGAACATGGGCTTGAACACTTTCTCCGCAATCAGCGCCGAGAGCGGCGGGTTGTAGTTCTGCGCCTCCACCTCCAGCCACTGGTTCACCAGCGCACGCTCCTGCGGGACACGGCAACACAGCAGACGTCACTAAGAAATACCAAGCATCAATATGAAATTATAATCCTCCACCTCCACCCACTAATTCACCCGCGCACGTTCTTGCACAACAACACTCAGGTAGGAAACTCTGAGTTGAATAAACGGACACGCGTGAAGGTGATGGACTATCACTGCCGGTAGCAGCTAGCAGGAGTCCAGGACGGGATGGTGGTGTTTCAGCGCGCTAAGGAGTGGAAGTGTCTGACTTAAGTACCTTGAGCGTGGAGCCGAGAAGGTCAGTGCCTTGGCCGGCATTCTTCTCAGCGATGTAGACCATGGGGGAAAGACATTCAGGTGAGCACATGCCATTTTAGCGAAGGTTTAGTACAGATGGAACAAACATGGGAACATTTGGGAAGGACAATTCTGTAAAAGCGAAATAAGCAACCAAAATGCTGTGTCCAGAAGTGGAAAATGGATGGAGCTGAATAGATGGTAGAAAGAATCTGTGAAAAAACAAACGTACCGAAGAGCTGAACCTCCCCGTCATCGAGAACGGGAATCACTCCAAAGGGCTGCGTAGTAACAGGGCCAGAGAGGAAACAGACCGAGTCGAAATCAACCCACACGTCGAAAATCAGACGGTCGTGTGATTGTAACGAGCTGCATCCGATGCTGTTGTGTAACGAAAACGGACGGATATCATGCTGAATTTTGCGTGTATATGCGGATTTTCGAAGAGAGGAATGATACAAGCGGATTGAGTCAGAGCGTGGGAGTTTGCCGCCCACCTGCTTCTTCTTGAACTCTTCCGACTTGTGCTCCCCTTTCCCAAGATCCACCGGAACCACCTCGTAGTCCTGAGGAATCAGGAATATGGCATTCGCTGAATTTTAAAAAAGGAGGAGAATCTGAAGAAAGAAAAAAAGGCCGGCAGTTGAAGCGACAATCCGAGCTGGGGAGAAAGGAAGCCTAGTTTTCAATTTAGTAGCTGACGAATTCGTACCGTAACGGCTTTCTCCTCGAGAGTGGTGAGCACCCTCTTGGTGCAAGTCGACATGTTCAAGCCGTAGACCTTCACTGGAGCCATGATGTCAGCGGCGAGAGCGGTGATCACAGAGATGCTAATGGGACCAGAACGATGCGAGAATGGAGACTAGGCTGACGGGAGGAGGTTACACGATTAGTATTAGGCTCGTTGGGAGCTTGACTGTGAATCGCAGCCACCATGGCCCTGTAAAATACTCGCCAAGTACACATACTTTCAGCTAGCACCACTTGTGGAGAAATGGAACATCGGAGCTTCTGGAAAGACACTCCGGCTGCTTCGACGACGCTTATGCCTGTTCTAGACCTCGATCTGCCTGTGAAAAACTCAAATCGTGCGACAAACGATTGTGCCAAGAGCAGTAGTGCGAAGAACTCCCTTGTGTTGTACATCTGTGCGAAGAACATCTGCGCGAATAGTCGAACTCTTCGGAAAGTCTCAGAGCCTTCCACGAAACTAAGACATTCGCGAAACTCACATGACGTCAGGTCCAGTATTTGATTTCGCTAATGCGGTAATCTCTTCGCTTGCTGTCGTCATTCAGGATGGTAATCTCAATTCCTGCAGTTAGTCTTGCTGGGTCACGGTGATGTTGAAAACCGCCATGCACTGACCCAACTTTTCTCGTCGAAACGGACGGTTCGATACGATGCAGTGCAATCTTAACTGGTTCAAAGACTTCCCGACCTTCGGACACTTGCCTAAAAATTCAACAGCCCCGTTCATTGACAGAACTCCGAGGGATTTTTGTTCGAAACCCTGCGAACCCAGTTGGGATGACCCGAAGTTGAGCGTCCCCCGCGTTGCGAACCGCGAAGACCTTCTCGTCAACCTTTTCGCTCTCCTCATCAGCCTTCCGAGAATTCGTCAGAGTTCGCCAACCGTTTCCTTCCTTGCCACTGGCTAACAAAACGCAGCACACGAACCGCCACTGTCACTCGCGGCAGCCGAAAACTTGACAGCGCGACGTTGTTTGAAACCACGTGGCGCTGACTCATCAGTTTCAGCAGGAGTGGGTGACAGCAACACTACAGCAGTGGAGGGAGCGTAATACAGTACAGTATCGATGAGTGCAGTGCGGTGCGGAAGCTCTTAGCAGCAACCCAGCGACCATACATATCAATTTCGAGTGCGCTGACCAGCTGCCGCATCTCCAACTTAGTAGTTCAACCCCGCTTATCAGCCTACTAAATCCGCCCATAAGCGCTGAGCCATCTCCGCCGTCCAGTCCTCCAATCCACCAGTCCACCCTCCGCTCTCCGCCGGCCGCCCTCCGCCGGCCGCCCTCCGCCGTCCGCTCTCCGCCGTCCGCCCTCCGCCGTCCACCCTCCGCCATCCGCTATCCGCTCTCCTCTCTCCGTCTTCCTTTTTCCGCCTTCCGCTCTCCGCCCTCCGCCTTCTGCGCTCAGCGAGAGATGGCCACGCTTCTGCATCGCGTCGCGGTCAATTTCAGACGAAGCAGCGGCGCGACTGCCGCCGTGAATCGCGCCGTCGGATCGTTCCAGAGCGGATTTGCCGCGCAACCGCGCAGTCTCCTCGATGTCCTCGCGCTTCGATGGGTTAGTTACGCAGTAGATGCCTTGGGTAAAACGATTCCGGAATAACGCGCTATAAACGTTTACAGTGTAACTTCGTTGCGCGCAGTCTCCTCGATGTCCTCGCGCTTCGATGGGCTAGTCTCATAGTAGATACTTTTGTTAGACCGCTTCTGCGGGAATCCGTTATTGTGTTCTCGCGACGCGTTATGAACGTTCTTTATTGGGCCCGCGTTGTTGTCGAAGTTTGTTTGTGATTTTTTATTTTCTTTTCTTTTCTTTCCACTCCTTGCATTTCACGAAGACTCGCCGCGCCCATCCGCCCTTTTTCCCCGTAGCCCCCTTTTCCCCGTCCTCAGCGCGCGCTGGTACTAACGGAGGACACGGGGAAAGGGGGGGGGAGAGGGGAGGGGGGGAGAGCTCCGCCGCGGCCCTGAAGCCGGCCCCTCTGTCCCCACCCGCCGCGGCCCCCCTATCCCCTTTTTTCGCGGCCCCCCTCCGCTCCCCACTCCCCCCCCCCAGGCAAGCACGCTGGTGGTGGCGGAGCACACGGGGAGGGGCGGGGGGGGCTCCGCCGCGACCTTAAAGCCGCCCACGCTGTCCGCACCCGCCTCGTCCCCCACTACACCCCTCCCCACCCATGCAGGCCAGCACGCTGGTGGTGGCGGAGCACACGGGGAGGGGCGTGGGAGGGGTGCTGCGGCCCTGAAGCCGCCCACGCTCTCCGCAGTGGCGGCTGCGCGGAAGCTGGGCGGACCCGTGGCCGTGCTGGTGGCGGGGAGTGGTGATGCAGTTGCTGACGTGGCTGCTGATGTGGCAAAGATCGAAGGGGTGGATGAGGTGGGTGTGTTTGTGTAGACTCAATCGGTTTTACACGTTCTACTGTAAAGATGTTTCTAAACTCGAGACCCATGAAAAGGACACACACACAGAAATCAGAAATCAGAAATCACATACACACACACACACACACACACACACACACACACACACACACACACACACACACACACACACACACACACACACACACACACACACTGAGTTTACCACAGAAATCAGTCATAAACTTGATGTCAGATCAGAGAGAAGCAACTTCCGTGCCCTTTCCTTAAACCTTTTCTTCCTTTTCTTGTCATCTTCTCAGGTGATTACAACAGAGAGCCCCGCCCTGGACCATGCCTTGCCAGAGCCCCTGGCGGCGCTACTGACAAACCTCGCCGCCCAGCGGTCGTTCTCGCACGTCCTTGCCGCCTCGTCCACGTTCTCCCGTAACGTGCTGCCACGTGTCGCCGCGCTATTGGATGCTGCAATGGTGTCTGACGTGGTTGAAATCGTGGATGAGAAAACCTTCGTGCGGTGAGGGGAGGGGAGGGGGAGGAAAGGGAGAGGGGGAGGGGGAGGGGGAGGAGGAAGGGGAGGGGGAGGGGGAGGGGGAGGGGGAGGGGGAGGGGGAGGGGGAGGGGGAGGGGGAGGGGGAGGGGGAGGGGGAGGGGGAGGGGGAGGGGGAGGGGGAGGGGGAGGGAGAGGGGAAGGGGGAGGAGGAGGGGGAGGGGGAGGGAGAGATGCGCAAATTAGGGGTTAGATGGCAAGAGATTACACGGGGCCATGAGTGGAGTTGACGCTGCGAGGGTGTCTCACCTCACATGGTTGAGAGCAAAAAGACAACCATTCGTTTATTTAAGTCTTAAGTTTTATGACGGAACTAAAAGTAGAGTTAAAATTTAATCGTGGATGAGACGAGACGACCTTTGTGCTGTGAATGGGGGGAAGAGGGGCGCAATGTAGGGGAAAGAGGGGTGTGCGGTGAAAGGGGTGCAGTGAGGGGGGGAGAGAGGGGTGCGGTGAGGGGGGGGAGGGAGGGGTGTTACTAAGTAAGGCGTTCCTAAGTCCCCTTCTTGTCCCCGCTTTCCCCCTTCCTCCCCTACAGTGTTCCGCTCTCCATGTTGCACTGTCTCACCTCCCCTCCCCCTTTCTTCCCCCTTGCCCCCCGACTTCTTTTCTTCCCCTCCGCCCCGCCCTCCCCCCCCCCCCCCCCCCCCCCCCCCCCCCCCCCCCCCCCCCCCCCCCCCCCCCCCCCCCCCCCCCCCAGCCCGATCTACGCAGGAAGCGCTCTAGCTACAGTGCGCTGCTCCACCCCTCCCCCCGTCCCCACGCTCCTCACAGTGCGCGCCACCTCCTTCCCTGCTTCCTCCCTTCTTCCCCCTTCCCCCCCTACCAACCCACAGCCCAATCTATGCAGGCAATGCTCTAGCCACGGTACGCTGCTCCACCCCCTCTCCCGCCGTCCCCACGCTCCTCACAGTGCGCGCCACCTCCTTCCCTGCTTCCTCCCTTCTTCCCCCTTCCCCCCCTACCAACCCACAGCCCAATCTATGCAGGCAATGCTCTAGCCACGGTACGCTGCTCCACCCCCTCTCCCGCCGTCCCAACGCTGCTCACAGTGCGCGCCACCTCCTTCCCTGCCGCCTCCTCCTCTTCAGCCGCCTCTGCTCCCAAGGCCACGCTGTTTGACTTCCAAGGTACGCTCTACACAGACACAGTGCGCTGCTCACAGTGCGCTGCTCACAGTGCGCTGCTCACAGTGCGCTGCTCACAGTGCGCTGCTCACAGTGCGCTGCTCACAGTGCGCTGCTCACAGTGCGCTGCTCACAGTGCGCTGCTCACAGTGCGCTGCTCACAGTGCGCTGCTCACAGTGCGCTGCTCACAGTGCGCTGCTCACAGTGCGCTGCTCACAGTGCGCTGCGCACAGTGCGCTGCTCACAGTGCGCTGCGCACAGTGCGCTGCTCACAGTGCGCTGCTCACAGTGCGCTGCTCACAGTGCGCTGCGCACAGTGCGCTGCTCACAGTGCGCTGCTCACAGTGCGCTGCTCACAGTGCGCTGCGCACAGTGCGCTGCTCACAGTGCGCTGCGCACAGTGCGCTGCTCACAGTGCGCTGCTCACAGTGCGCTGCTCACAGTGCGCTGCTCACAGTGCGCTGCTCACAGTGCGCTGCTCACAGTGCGCTGCGCACAGTGCGCTGCTCACAGTGCGCTGCTCACAGTGCGCTGCTCACAGTGCGCTGCTCACAGTGCGCTGCTCACAGTGCGCTGCTCACAGTGCGCTGCTCACAGTGCGCTGCTCACAGTGCGCTGCTCACAGTGCGCTGCTCACAGTGCGCTGCTCACAGTGCGCTGCTCACAGTGCGCTGCTCACAGTGCGCTGCTCACAGTGCGCTGCTCACAGTGCGCTGCTCACAGTGCGCTGCGCACAGTGCGCTGCTCACAGTGCGCTGCTCACAGTGCGCTGCGCACAGTGCGCTGCTCACAGTGCGCTGCGCACAGTGCGCTGCTCACAGTGCGCTGCTCACAGTGCGCTGCTCACAGTGCGCTGCGCACAGTGCGCTGCTCACAGTGCGCTGCTCACAGTGCGCTGCTCACAGTGCGCTGCGCACAGTGCGCTGCTCACAGTGCGCTGCTCACAGTGCGCTCCTCACAGTGCGCTGCGCACAGTGCGCTGCTCACAGTGCGCTGCGCACAGTGCGCTGCGCACAGTGCGCTGCTCACAGTGCGCTGCTCACAGTGCGCTGCGCACAGTGCGCTGCGCACAGTGCGCTGCTCACAGTGCGCTGCTCACAGTGCGCTGCTCACAGTGCGCTGCTCACAGTGCGCTGCGCACAGTGCGCTGCTCACAGTGCGCTGCTCACAGTGCGCTGCTCACAGTGCGCTGCTCACAGTGCGCTGCTCACAGTGCGCTGCTCACAGTGCGCTGCTCACAGTGCGCTGCTCACAGTGCGCTGCTCACAGTGCGCTGCTCACAGTGCGCGCTGCGCACCCTACCTCTGCCATGCCAACCAGCGCTGCTCACAGTGCGCGCCACCTCCTGTCCTGCCGCCACCTCCTTCCCTGCCGCCTCCTCCCCTTCTGAATCTACCTCCGCCTCCAAAACCACGCCGTTTGACTTCCAAGGTATGCTCTGCCCCACCTCCTCCTGCTCCGTTGTTGCCAAATCCCAACCCAAATCTGAATCCCAAAATCTGCCACTCACATTCACATATCCTTCCATCCCTTCCCGTCCTTCTCCCCCGTCGTCCCCCTTTTTGCTCCCCCCCTCTTCTCCCCATAATCCCATCCCAGCCCCCCCAGCTGAAAAGTCCTCCTGGGTCGGGCAGGAGTTGCGGGCAGCTGACCGGCCGGACCTGGGCAGCGCAAAAGTTGTGATTGCGGGCGGGCGGGGGCTGAAGAGCGAAGAGAATTTCAAGCTGCTGGAGCAACTAGCAGACAAACTGGGAGGGGCAGGTGAGCGTTCAAAGCAAAAAAAACACACACACACACACACACACACGCACACACACACACACACACACACACACACGCGCGCGCGCGCGCGGAATGAATCTAGCAGTCACCTTAGCCTTCCCTTCCGCATCTCCCTACTCTCACCAACCACCCTGTATCTGACACTTCCCGTCCCACTTTTTTTTTTTTTTTTCCCTCTGGCCAGTGGGTGCCTCTCGGGCAGCTGTGGACGCAGGCTACGTAGCCAACGACCTGCAAGTCGGGCAGACCGGAAAAATCGTCGCGCCAGACCTCTACATGGCGTTTGGAATTTCGGGCGCGATTCAGCATCTGGCGGGCATGAAAGATTCGAAGACGATCGTGGCTATTAACAAGGACCCAGATGCTCCGATCTTCCAGGTTGCAGATTACGGGCTGGTGGGAGATTTGTTTCAAGTGCTGCCCGAACTCCTCGAGAAAGTTCCTGCCAAGGCCTAAAAAAAGCAGAGCGTTCGCTCAGCAAGGCACAATAGAAATGTGTCCAGAAGGTTATCCAGGATATGATGGCATGATCCTGGATAGAAATGTGTGCCATTGCTCGGCATGGCACTATCCTCTTTGGGAACTCGTACTGGGGAATTTTGCCATGGAGGAAAATTGTACTACGACTGTATTCCCATTCTGTTCAATTCTGGTAGCTCGAACAGTACATGTTCGCAGCACAAGCATTCAAGACGCTAGGCATTTCCGTTACTAAGGATGGCATTTTGCCGCAAATGATTACGAGTAGTAGAAGCCTACTTCTCCTACCCTTGGAACAACAGTGCTGGATATGAATGAATCCCCTCCATCACCATGAGAGAGGAGGGGAGGGGATCGCTCTTTGCAATGCAGTGCAGTGCAGCTGCTGCAGAAGTCAACCAGTCAAGCCGTTTGAATGTGAGTGGTGCATCGCGGTGCAATGCGGTACCATCACCATGAGAGAGGAGGGGAGGGGATCGCTCTTGGCAATGCAGTGCAGCTGCTGCAGAAGCCAACCTGTCAAGTCAAACCCTTTGAATGTGAGTGGTGCATCGCGGTGCAATGCGGTACCACCAGCCAAGACGGTGCAACGGCTGGACAGAAAAATGGAGCACAGAAACCGAAGGGCTTGAGGCTGGAAATACGTGCTGCTCTGTGCTGCTGTGTGCTGTTGTTGCCGATTGCTTCAACCTCTGTGCTGCTTCAAACATCCCCTCCAGCTGCTGCTGCTGCTGCTGCTGCTGATCTGCTCTGCTCTGCTGTTATTCTGCTGCCTGCTGTGCTGCTGTTTTAGCCTGTTCCTCTGTTCCTCTGCTCCTCTACTGCTCTGCTTCTCTGCTGCCTTGCTGCACTGTTATATTAGCCTGCTATCCTGCTACTCCTCTGCTGCTCTGCTACCCTGCTACCCTGCTGCTCTGCTGTGATAGCCTGCTGCTCGTGCCTCAGCACCTCGTCTCACCAAATCACATCTGCACTCTGACCACATTCCCTCCTCCCACTCTTCCCCACTTCCCCTCCTCCCACTCTCCCCCACATCCCCTCCTCCCTCTCTCCCCCACGCACTACAGTCCACTCTGTTCTCTTTTTTAGGCGCCTAACAAAAATCACGTCTCCCCCAACTAAGTCCACGCACGCGCTACAGTACAGTACAGTCCACTCTGCTAACACCCCCTGCCTTCGTCCTCACCACCCACAAACACCTCTCCTCCTCTCCATCTCATCACCTCCCTTCTCCTCCACGGGTCTAGGCCGAAGCACCCAGAATAGACGCATCTCATCCAAGCTCTCCACCCGAACCAACCCCTTCTCCTCCTCACCACTCACAAACATCTCAACTCCTCCCTAATCCCCCTCCTGGAGTCCAAGCAGAGGCACCAAGAATTGACAGGCCATTCCACAGCAGCCGCACGCCACCCTGGGCATGCCTCTCCACGCCAAACCCTTTAGGGTACGGCGCGATCAGCTCTCTCAACCCCCACATGCTCCTCTTGCTGAACGGCCGTGCCGCCACCCCCAACCGCCCCATCCTTACATGCATCTGATCCAAACTCTCCGCTCTCACCAACCTCTGCATGCCCTCGCATGCTACCAGGTTCACCATTTCCCGTGCGAGCACGAATTCCTCGAATCCGCGGCGGCCGAAGGAGAAGCGCGAGGCGAGGGCGTCGTGAGAGGAGAAGACGTTGTGGAAGAAGAGAAGGGCATCTCGAAAGCGAGACAGGAAGAAGGGCTGCTGCTGATTGGAGTCCCATTCCACTAGCGTCATCACCTTGGGGTCTAGCTGCATGATCGCCTGGGGGAGCAAGGGGGGAGGGAGGAGGGGACGTGACGGGGAAGAGTGAGAATGGAAGAAAGGGGAAGAAGTGGCAGGCATGATTGCCTGAGAGAAGGGAGGAAGGCAGGGGGAAGGGAGGAGAGGAGGAGAAGGGAAGGGTGAGGAGGAAAATTTTGGAGGTGCATAGAGGGCATGTCGTGGTAAGTGTAGGGAGGCGAGAGCGACTTCTGAGTCGACTCAAAGGGCATGTCGTGGTATGTGTAGGGAGGCGAGAGCGACTTCTGAGTCGACTCAAAGGGCATGTCGTGGTAAGTGTAGGGAGGCGAGAGCGACTTCTGAGTCGACTCAAAGGGCATGTCGTGGTATGTGTAGGGAGGCGAGAGCGACTTCTGAGTCGACTCAAAGGGCATGTCGTGGTATGTGTAGGGAGGCGAGAGCGACTTCTGAGTCGACTCAAAGGGCATGTCGTGGTATGTGTAGGGAGGCGAGAGCGTCATGGGAGGAGAAGATGTTGAGGAAGAAGAGAAGGGCGTCTTTGCAGCGAGACAGGAGGAAGGGCTTCTGCTGGATGGAGTCCCTTCTTGGCACTCCCTCCCTCTTACCTTTATTGCTGTATCCTTTGGGCTGTGTCTCAGAACTGTAGAGTCTGCCACACAGGCCAGCCGCCCAGCCACGTTCACTAGAACACACTCCCCGCGCTCCACTCCAATCGCCGCCGCCCGCAGCGTCTCCGGCGCCGCCTCGACCCGGGAAAAGGACAAGCTCACGCCGCACTCCTGCGCCGCCCGTGCCAGCTCAGCCTGGAGGAAGGCCGCAGGAAGCTTCGGGCCAGTCCCGTAGGGATGCCCAAAGGGAGGGTCTACGGCTGTGAATCGGATTCGGAGGAAGGAGGGAGGGATGGGAGAGGGAGAGGAGGTGGACGGACCTTGCGGGGGTGTGGGAGAAGGGGAGGAGGAGGGTGAGGAGGAGTGGTGGGTGGAGGTGGGTTGGGACGGCGAGGGATGGGAGGGAGAGGAGGAGGCGGATGGTGAATGGGAAGCATGGCTGGTAGTAGCAGCTGTACTGTCACAGATACCAACGCCGCTGCCGCTGCCTGCTGCTGCTGCTACCGCTGCTGCTGCTGTTATGGCTTTGGATGGTAACGGCTGCTGCGGCCATTCTTTTCCGGGCAGCTGCCGCCAGCTGGCGGATGACGATTGGCCACTGGCCTGCCCACATGGCGAAATCGACGATATGGATGTTGGTCTCGTCCTCTGCTGCGTCCTGTAGAGGGAGAAGGGTGAGGGGAAGGGGGGCAGGAATGAGGGAAGGAGAGAGGGGGGTTGAGGGTGCTTGGGGGTTGCAGTATTGGAAAAGTCGACGATGTGGATGTTGGTCTCGTCCTCTGCTGCGTCCTGTAGAGGGAGAAAGGGGTGAGGGGTGGTGGAAGGGGGAGCCGTGGAGAGAGGGGGATCCGTGGAGAGAGGGGGATCGGAGGAAAAAGGGGGGGAAGGGGGACGCACTGTCAGCAAATTCGGCAATGTGGATGGTGGACTCTTCCTCTGCTGCGTCCTGCAAATAGAGAGGGGTGGGGGAGGGAAGGAGAATGAGGGGGTAGGGATGGGTGGGTGGAGGAAGAGTGAGTGAAGGATTTGGACAAAAGGCGAACCAGCAGTATGGCACATTCCTTACCACCACTCTGCACGACTTACCACCACTCTGCAGCCCCTACGAGCCCTCTTCGCTCCCTACCACCACTCAGCATTCCCCACCACCACTTTTCAGGCCTCACCACCGCTCTGCACGCCTTACCAGCATGGCACAGGCCAGCGCGGAGTAGCAGAACTGCAGTGTGGGGCAGTGCGCTGCAAAGGCCAGAAACAACAGAAAGATGCATTCCTTACCACCACTCATCACTCCCTACCACCACTGTGTACCCCTCACCAACGCTCTGCACGCCTTACCACCGCTCTGCACGCCTTACCACCGCTCTGCACGCCTCACCACCGCTCTGCACGCCTTACCAGCATGGCACAGGCCAGCGCGGAGTAGCAGAACTGCAGTGTGGGGCAGTGTGCTGCAAAGGCCAGAATCAGCGCCTCCTCCTGCGGTGGATAGGGGTGAAGAGGGATGGAGAGGAAAGGGGATCGATGGAGAGGGGAGAGAAAAGAGTGGAGAGGAGGTGAGCGCATGTGAATAGCTCTGCAGGACAGTGCACTGCAAAGGTCAGAATCAACGCCGCCTCCTGTGGTGGAGAGGGATGGAGAGGGGTCGAGAGGGATGGAAAGGGATGGAGAAGGTTGGAGAGGGATGGAATAGGCAATGTACTCGGTTCCCAGGGCGCCAGCAGCTTCAAGAGGTAGTGGGAGACAGAAGCGACTTTTGAGGCGCCTCAAGCGGTAGTGGGAGACAGAGGCAGTAGCAGCATAAGCTGTCCCTATCAACACCACCATCCATCTCACCTCGGGAGCGCGGCTCAAATAGGCGATGTAGTCGGTACCCAGGGCCCCAGCAGCTCTCTTTGCGAGGGCAGTGAGGAGGTAGTGTGAGACGCGCTGCATTGGTGTGCCATAAGGGGAGGAGAGTGGGCGCAGACGACGAGTCAAAGACACCATGCGTGGCTGCACAAGGGGGGGGGGGGGGGGTGGGAGGATGAGGAGCAAGGAGGCAGGCGGTGAGGAGGTGGTTGGATCGGAGACGCCTTTGCATGGGCGTAGGAGCAGGTCCTGCTGTTCTTGGATCTGCTGTTCTCATTGCATTGGCCCTGCTGTAGCCCCTCGTCCCACACCCTCCCACTTTCACTTTCACTCACTCTCTCCTCTCACCTGTTCCCTCTCCCCTCACCTGGTCGCCTGTAGCAACAGCTTCAGCCAGCTGAAGCAGGTCCTGCTGAAGACCCTCGTCTGACACCCGCGCACTAGCCAGGTCGCGCACACTCTCCGAGTCACCAAACTCACTCACTGCCCTCGGCACCGCCTCCACCCTCTGCTGCTGCAGCTCCATCACTCTGGGTTGTATCACTCTCGGTTGGTGCTTCTGCTTCGGCTGGATCGCCCTCAGGTGAGTCACTCCTGGCTGATTCACATTCGGATTTACACTCCTGCTTGGTTGGTTCGGCTGATTGGATCTTAGTTGGTTGATTTGTTGCTGCTGCTGAAGCAGTCCTGCTCTTAGGGTCCCTCTCAGCCGCTGCTCCAATGCCGACGCGCCACCTGGCGCGCCTCCCACTGGCGTGACTGTATACGCATCTGTCAGCATGCGCTGCTGCCGACGTGTGCTTGTATCGAACGGGCTTGTATTGAATGGGTCCCCTGCTGCTCTGCCTGTTGCTGCTGGGGCTACCCCAAATCGAGCGCCTTCCCCTAAACCAGCGCCTTCCCCTAAACCTACTCCTCCTAATCCTGCTCCTAGCCCTATTCCTATTCCTACTCCTGCTCCTGCTACTGCTCCTACTGCGCCTGCTGCTCCTGCTGCTGTTGCATGGGTTGCGGAATCAAAAGCTCGCATCAGTGAAGGGTCAACAGAGTACCTCCTGGTATCGGCAAAGGAACCCGGAGGGAACAGCCCGAGATCTGCCCCTGCTGCTGCTCCTGCTGCTGGTGCCGCTGTCCCTGCTGCTGCTACTGGCACTAAAGCCCCGGAGTAGTTCCTGGTATCTGCAAAGGAACCTGGAGGGAACAGCATGAGTTCACCCCCTGCTGCCCCTTCACCCCCTGCTGCCCCTGCCGCCCCTGCTCCTGCTGCTGACCCTGCTGCTGCGGCTGGCACTAAAGCTCCTGAACCTTCTACCAGCATGGAACTACCCCTTCTCTCCGTGCTGCCTCCCTCACCTGGTACCATAGAATCCAGTTCAGACGCCAAATCCCTCCCTCCTGCCCTACTGTCAAGAATCGCGTTACCATCAACTTGCATGAGCCCAGCACTCTCACCAGAGCTGGAACTCTTTGCCAGAGATGCTAGTTCAGATGCCAAGTCCCTTCCTCCTCCTAACCTATTTTGAAGTGTTTCAGCAGCACCAGAAGCAGCACCGCTGCTATCACAACTACCACCACCACCACGGATGCCACTCAAACCACCTCTACCACCAACAGCAGCATCACCAAAAGCAGCAGCGCTAGCAACACCCCTACCACCACCGCTCCACCCCTGACCCGTCATCCCAACTACACCGAACCTGCTCCTCTCTCCTGAAACTACTGCCGAACCACCAGACCCTACAGCGAGCCTATCCTCGTTAGAAGCACCCCGCGAGAACCCTGTAATAGCTTTTTCCAGAGCCTCCATCTCTGCTGCGCGCATAGAGTCGATGCTTGCAAAGGGGAACTCTAAATCAAACTGGGACGGCTGTAGCGGCCGCTTAGACGGCTGTAGGGGCCGTTGTGCCGCCTGTTGCGGCTGCTGTGCCTGCTGCAGTTCACTCTGGTGCCGATTCTGCTGCTGGTATAGTTGTTGCTGCTGCTCCTGCTGAGGTTGCTGCTCCTGCTGTGGTTGCTGCAGTTCCTGCTGTTGCTGATTCTGCAGCTCCCTCTGCTGGTCCTGACCTCGCTGTCTCGACAGCTGCCGTTGCACCAGCGCAAGTAGAAGGGAATCCGTCACTCTACCTCCTCCCCCTTGCTGCACCTGCTGCTGCTGCTGCTGCTGCTGCTGCTGCTGCTGCTGCTGCTGCTGCTGCTGCTGCTGCTGCTGCTGCTGCTGCTGCTGCTGCTGCTGCTGCTGCTGCTGCTGCTGCTGCTGCTGCTGCTGCTGCTGCTGCTGCTGCTGCTGCTGCTGCTGCTGCTGCTGCTGCTGCTGCTGCTGCTGCTGCTGCTGCTGCTGCTGCTGCTGCTGCTGCTGCACCTGCTGCTGCTGCTGCTGCTGCTGCTGCTGCTGCTGCTGCTGCTGCTGCTGCTGCTGCTGCTGCTGCTGCTGCATCTGCTGTTGCACTTGCTCTAGCTGCTGCATCTGCTGTTGATGTGGATTTGGCCGACCTTGCAGCGCCTCCCACAGCTGATCGTGCTGCTGCTGCTGTTGCTGCTGCTCCAACTGCTGCTGCTCTACCTGCCGTCTCTCATCTATTTGTTGCTTCTGCTGCGGTTGCTGCTGCTGCTGCTGCTGCTGGTGCTGCTGTAGCGGATTTGACTGCGCTCTAGACACCGGCTGCTTCTGAAACCTAACCGCACTGGCCAGACGCTTAGCCAAGTCCACTGGTAACCTGCGGGAACCACGCTCTAATCCCCCCGAACCACTTAATACTCCTCCCTCCTTGACATCACTGCTACTGCTACCGCCACCACCAACAGCAGAAGCAACAGTAGGGCCAGTGCAATCATCGGAAGAGGTTGTGACGGGAGAAGCGGCGATGGCGGGAGACGCAAGGGAGGGAGGGGTTGCGCCGACAGGGGATACAGCGGCAAGAGCGGGAGAAGCAACAGCGGGAGAAGCAACAGCGGGAGAAGCAGCAGCGGGAGAAGCAGCAGCGGGAGAAGCAGCAGCGGGAGAAGCAGCAGCAGAACCTGTTACCGAGACTTGCGGCGACCCGGACCGAACTCGAGTCGACGGTGACGATCGGTGCTGCTTTCGCTGCTGCAGGCTCGAGCTCAGCGGCGCGCTCAGCAAGTCCATGTTCCACTCCGCCGTAGCCGCTACAGCCGCTACAGCCGTTGTAGCGGCTGCAGCCGGTGTAGCTGTTACATCCGCCCCAGCCACGCGGTTACTACTGCTTCCTCCCTCTCTTCCTCCACCGGGGAGAGACCCTGACCCTGCTCCTGCGCCGACTCCCCACGTGTCTCCAAAACCCCCTTTGCTCCGCTTACCAACTCGACCACTGCCGCCGCCGCCGCCCATTCCGCCCAACCCGCCCAACACTCCGCCAGGATCTGCGGAGGGGACCACCGGCGGAGCAACGGATCCCTCCCAGCCGAGTTCCTGTGGTAACGCCGCCAGAGGCTGTTCCAGACTCGGATCCTCCCTTAGCCCTTGCCGTTGCCCTTGCGCTTGCGCTTGCACCCGTGCTTGCGCTTGCCCGTGCCATTGCGCTTGCCCTTGCCATTGCGCTTGCCCTTGCCCTTGCCCTTGCCCTTGCCCTTGCGCTTGCCCTTGCGCTTGCCCTGCCCTCATCAAATCAACCCCGAAAACTGAACCCCCCTGCTGCGGAGCAATATTCTGCTCTGTATCATGATCACCATGAATATGCGAATCGACCAAATTAATAGGAGTAGTTGTAGTGGTGATATTGTAACTTCTAAATCCTTCGCCAAAGCGCGATTCATCGCCGGCTGCATGATCGTGTGATTCTGGCGGTCGATCCGCTAGAGGATGATCCGTTAAACTGCCGTCGTAGTCATGGTGGTGTCCCATTTCGTGCTGACCGTCCAAGAAATCTCGCAGCGCGATTGGATCGATCGGGGTTGGGATTGGATCCAAGGCGGCATGATGATGTAAATCTGCTGCCAATGGAAATGAATCGGGCAATTGCCACGTGGACTCTTCGAAATGCCATGGTTGCGTCGCGTCCCTGCGCACCGTGATTATGAATCGCAAGGTCCACGCAGTCAAAACATACGTAGAAGACAGAGGGAAATAGAAAACATAAATTAAAAAAAAAAAAAAACCAAACAAACAAAACACACACACACAACACACACACACACACACACACACACACACACACTCACTCACTCACTCACTCACTCACTCACACACTCACACGACACAAACAAACACAACAAAGAAACCACGACGATAGGAAGAAGAAGAAACGAAAAAGGCTTCGGGAATTCTAAACCAACAATGAGACCCACCACAGAGAATTATGTTCGTCCATCAGGCTGCTGCTAAAATCATACACAGCGGTATGAAGTCCAAGGATCATCTCAGTTAGACACTCGAAGCTCTCTTTATTTTCCCCTGCAGCAATTTCACGCGACAGCTCAAAGTGGGAGGTGATGGAGGAGAGATCACGGATCGTCTCGCCTCCTGTGCCACTGTGGAGGAAAAATCATTCTCTCCTCCAGTTGTCGTCACAACTGACATTCACACAACAGACAGTGCGGCCGCAATCAGGGCACAGAGTCACGGAGCGGGAGCACAGGCGGGCGGACATACTATTGTATCTTTGCTTGGACCGAACAAACAAACAATTGGTTTCGTGCCGTCGTATCCTCCTGCTGGAATCAGTCGTCTCGTCTGCACAGAAATTTAGCGGGTTTCTTACCTCGCTACCCATCCCTACCACGCATCAACTCACACAAATTTCCGGTCATTTGTGAAACCCAAGATGTGATGCGGTGCAGTTGTAATTTTGCCTGAAAAATAACTGATTCACCAAATCCGTTTCTTACCGTTACTGTACAGTTCTGCCCCAGGGTAATTCGGTTTGTGAAATTCGCTATTTATGCTGGATCGTCCGCCAGTAAAACACCTGGGACCCGGCAAATCATCTGGCAAGATTTGGCAACTGTAACAAAAAAGATGCTGATGCTGAATTCAATAGAGCAACACAAATGTACTGTACAGTGCAGTACAGAACTTTAATCAACCCAGCAACCCTGACAAACACAAAAAAAAAAAAATCGATTCGCAAGCTGACAAAACGCCAGATCACACGACATAAAGAGCAGGTTGCGGATGAATTACACACGTTTCCCAGAGTCGTCCGCACATCTCAGCCATTGAAAACCGCCACCTCCCTTCAGATCTTCTCCTTCCAAAACCTCACCTTGCCTTCTCCCAAGCCTCTCTGGCTCTGCAACTCCACAAAAAAACAATACACCAACTTGTTGAGGTGGACATGCAGCAAGCAGCCAGCTCATTGCCAGCTACGTCTCAGATAATCATTGGCTCTGCGCTGGGTTTGATGGCCAGTGGCAGCATCCAGTCTGGCAACATGTCAATGGCACAGTGGAGGAGCTGCTGGATGCGGTCAGGTAATCAAGAGCACCCAACCCTGAGACTCCGGGGTGAGGGAGGAATTATTCCCGTTCAAGAGATTGCGGATGTGGCGATACAGAACCGAAATGTTCGCAAAATGGCTACGCACACCATCCGTCCTTGCCCGTCAATGTCGCATCTACCCCTGAAAACTCTGGGTGCTTGGCGGACGAAATTCGTCTCTGGAACGACAGTACGAAATCTCGACTGGCAGCTAAAATCACCTCGCTTGAAGAGACACCGTTTGGAATATTTATTCACAAAATAAGGGCGTGTGTGAATCTAATTTGTGCCATAAGTTTATGTCTTTGACTCGATAGGAGCAAGTGAACACAAAGCGAACCTGATTTGACTTTGAGCAATAGCAATGTTCGAACCGCGGATGCCAAAATTTGTAAACGCACAGTCATACCAAGTGTTACGAGTGCAATGGAGTGAGCGAACGAGGATTGCACTATCGAAGCAAGAGTACAATGAGCGAAGGCATGAGCGAAGAATATATAGCGAAACTACAGTGGTAACGGTAATGTGTGGAAATTGGGGTGCGCGACGGGCCTAGCGCCGAGGGTGGGAAATGCCGAGGCGGAGGTCCGGAGCGCGGGTTACCAACCGAGCCGTGAGGTTGGGTCGCGGCGTGAACAGTGGCGGGAACAGTATCGAGGCGAGTGTCGCGAGTGGTAACGGTGTACTGCTGGATGCTGGTGGCGGGAACAGTGGTGTACGCGCTGAGAAGGGACGCGGAGTAAGAAAAAGAAATTTTCCTTACACTACCCCCCCCCCCCTAAGGAGGCCCTCCTTACGAAAGCGCATGCACATCCCGGAAATTGCGGCTTCGCAGGTACTCGGTGAGGACAGGGTGATTCTCAATTCTGTCCAGGGGAACCCAGTTGTCCTCCGTGGGCGTGCGATCTTTCCAGCGGATCAGGAATTCGATTCTGCGGGCTCCCCGTGGGTCACGTACTCGATGGCTCAGGATTTTTTCAGGCGTGATGATTGGCTCCGTTGGTGGCCGTGTCATGCTGGCGGGGCGGTTGCGAGGCAGTTGGCTGGTGGATGGCACGTATGGGCGAAGCAGGCTGACATGGAATGACGGGCTGACGTACCAGTCAGCAGGGAGGAGGAGGTGGGCGGTAACGGGTGTGATCATGTGGCTGATGCGAAATGGCCCACAATATCGGGGGCGGAGTTTTGGGGTGATAGGTAGGCGGAGGTTGTTGGTGTCGAGCAATACCAGGTCGTCGGGCTGGTAAGTGACGGGGCGGCGGTGTCGGTCGGCGTTACGCTTAGCGATGACGTTTGATTTTTTTATGGCTTCTGCTGCTCGGGTCCGGGCTGCCTGTAATATTTCTGCGAACTGTTGTGCGTGTGGGACTGGGTTGTCGGGATTCGGGGTCATGGGTACTGTGGGGTCTTGTCCGTAGTTCAAGTAAAATGGGGACTGTTGTGTTGTGGCGGAGGGCAAATTGTTGTATGCGAATTCGATGAGTGGCAGTTGTGTTAAACTGTATTATGCTTGTAGGCTGTAGTGGGGTAGCCAATATGGGGTACAACCCCAACTAGGGTTTCATATTTGTACCCAAACTTCTGCTAGTTCATTCATTCTTGCCTAGCTATTCTGAAATGGTATTCAGAGCAGGAGGTCCCTAGGACCTACCGACCGTTTTTTTTTTAAGGGCCCACCACCGCTCGCATGCGGTTACCACGCTACCCCGTGCCCTAGCCTCGTAGCGCCCTCGTGCGCCCTCGTTAGCGCCCTCGCGCGCCCCTCGTTAGCGCCCTCGCGCGCACCCTCGTTAGCGCCCTCGCGCGCCCCTCGTTAGCGCCCTCGCGCGCCCCTTGCTAGCGCCCTCGCGCGCCCCTCACTAGCGCCCTCGCGCGCCCCTCGCAGTGTCGCCCGCCCGCTCGCTGCCCGCTTCGCGGCCCGCCCGCCACGCAGCCCGCCCGCCCGCTCGCTGCCCGCTTCGCGGCCCGCCCGCTTCGCTGCCCGCTTCGCGGCCCGCCCGCTTCGCAGCCCGCTCGCCCGCTCGCTGCCCGCTTCGCGGCCCGCCCGCCCGCTCGCTGCCCGCTTCGCGGCCCGCCCGCTTCGCAGCCCGCTCGCTCGCTGCCCGCTTCGCGGCCCGCCCGCTTCGCAGCCCGCCCGCCCGCTCGCTGCCCGCTTCGCGGCCCGCCCGCCTCGCAGCCCGCTCGCCCCGCTGCCCGCTTCGCGGCCCGCCCACTTCGCAGCCCGCCCGCCCGCTCGCTGCCCGCTTCGCGGCCCGCCCGCTTCGCAGCCCGCTCGCCCCGCTGCCCGCTTCGCAGCCCGCCCGCCCGCTCGCTGCCCGCTTCGCGGCCCGCCCTCTTTGCTGCCCGCTCGCAGCGCCGCCCGCCCGCCCGCTACCTGCTTCGCAGCGCCGCCCGCTGCCTCACTGCCCGCTTGCTGCGTCCCCTCTGCTGCTGCCGCTGCTCTGCTGTGCCCTCACGCCTGAGCTATGGCCTCTATTCGCGTTCTTTCCTTCGATGCTGAGGGCCGTCCCGTGCAGTTCACTTCCTGGCTCGACGACCTGCAGTTGTATCTTATGAGCAATAGCACGGACCACATCTCCCTCTATGACTACGCGTCTGGTGCTGCCGCTGCTCCTGCTGCCACAGCCGAGCTTAGTGTTCGTTCCCACTGGCAGACTCGTGACGCAGCTGCTCGCCTAGCCATTCGTAGTCACCTGCCGCTAGCTGAGCTCGAGCATTTTGGCGACTGCAAATCCGCTAAGGCCCTGTACGATGCTGTCGTTGCTCGCTACTCCTCGCCTGCCACAGCCGAGCTTAGCCGCCTCATGCTGCCGTACCTGTTCCCCGATCTGTCCACCTTTACTACAGTCGCCGATCTTATCACCCACCTTCGCACTAGTGATGCTCGCCTGCGTGCCGCCCTTCCCACCGAGTTCTGCGCTAAGAACCCCCCTCCACTGTACTGGACACTCCACTTCATAGTCACCCGTCTCCCTGACACCCTCCGCTCAGTTCGAGACCACTTCCTTGCTCGCTGTCCCACTGAGCTCACAGTCGCCCTCCTAGAGGAGCAGCTGCTCGCGGCCGAAAAGAGCATTGTAGCTGTTGGTGCTGCTCGTGGCGCTCCTCGCACCCCCATCTTTGAGGGGTGTTCTCCCTCTCCCCTCGCTCCCTCCTACGCTGCTGCTGCTGCTGTTGACTTCCTTGGTGCTGAGTCTGTTGGCGCTGCTTCTGCTCCTGGTGGGAGGCGCCGCACCGGCAAGGGCAAGGGGGGCAAGGGTGGTGGTGGTGGCGCTGGGGGGGGAGGAGGTGGGGGAGGTGGGGGGGGAGGCGGTGCTGGAGGGAGCGGTGGCGGGAGCGCTGGTGGGAGTGGGGTCGGTGGTGGAGGCGGGGGCGGCGGCGGAAGCAGTGGCAGTAGTGGCGGCGGTGGCGGCGGTGGCGGTGGTGGCGGTGGTGGCGGTGGCGGTCGGAGCGGTGGTAGTGGTGGCGGCGGCGGTCGGAGTGGAGGCACTGGCTCGGGCCAGAGCTCCCAGCAGCAGCAGCGTCCCCAGACGACCCAGCAGCTTCGTGAGTGGCTTGCTCAGCGTGGGACGTCGGGGGGCAGTGGCCGCTGTTCTTATGTCATTCGCACAGGTGACCGCAAGGGACAGACGTGTGGGAGGTTCCACACCCCGTACCGCTGCTTCTCCCGCCTTGACGACGCTTGGCGTGAGGAGATGGGCGCGGATGTTGAGCGCCCCCGCTGGGCTGAGCTCATGAGGGCTGGTGTTGATGTCTTTGCTCTTGACTATGATGCTATCATTGCTGCCATGTATGCATTGACTGTTAGTGCCGAGGGAGACTGTTACTTGTGTGTGCCGCCTGACCCAGGTATAGAGCCCGCTGCCCTGGGTACTAGTGAGTCTGCTCTCTCTGGTATGGTGCCCCCTGTACTTGCTCCCCCCAGTGCTGTCCTGGCTG